AGCAGGGAGCCCAATGCGGGGCTCAATCCCAGGACCCTGGGATCATGACCTGAGCCGAAGGCAGACGCTTAATGACTGAGCCACCCAGGTGCCCCGATAGAAAGTTATTTTTTTTGTGTATATATATATGTCCAGTTGTCCCAGCACCATTTAAAAGCTTATCTCTCCACTGCATTGCCCTTGCACTTTTGTCACAAATCAGTTGGCCATACATAATGTCGGTTTATTTCTGAAATACATGTTCTGTTCTATTGATCTCTTTCTCCATTTTTACACTAGTGTCACATTGTTTTGGTTACTGAAGCTTTTTAAATAAATATTGAAATCAGGTAATGTTAGTCTTCCAACTTTGTTCTTTTTCAAAATCACTTTGACTATTCTAGGCATATTCAGATCATTTATATTTATTGTGGTTGTTAATATAACTAAGTTTGAGAAGACCATTTTGCTATTAGTTTTCTGTTTGACTTATCTGTCCTTTATTTCCCCTTTTCTCTGTTCCTACCTTCTTTGAAGTAATCAAATTATTTTTTATGATTCTTTTATCTCCTTTGTTGGTTTATTAAGTATGCCTACTTTAGGGTTTATATTATACATCTTTAACTAATCAAGTCTACCTTGAAGTGGTAGTATGTGACTTCATGTTTAAACAAGAACCTTACAACCGTATGCTTCCAAACCGTATCCTTCCATTTCTCCCCTCCCAGCCTTCATGCTATTTTTCTTTTTTAGAAGATTTTATTTATTTATTTGAGAGACACAGAGAACACACGAGTGGTGGGGGGAAGGGCAGAGGGAGAGGGAGAAGCAGACTCCCCACTGAGCAGGGAGCCCGAGGTGGGGCTCACTCCCGGGACCCTGGGATCATGACGTGAGCCGAAGGCAGACGCTCAACTGACTGAGCCACCCAGGTGCCTGCCTTCATGCTATTTTTGTCATGAATTTTAATTTGACTTACAAACATATTGTTACTATTATTTCTGTTTGGTCATATGTGTTTTAAAGATATGTAAGTTATTCTAAAAAAGTATAGTAACCATTTCTGTCATAGATTTCTTTGTGTAGATTCAGATTTTCATTCAGTATCATTTTCCTTCTGGCAGAAGGACTCTAATATTCCCTGTGGTGCTGATCTGCTGGTGATGAATTCATGCACTTTTTTATGTCTGAAAAAGTCTTCATTTGTCTTCATTTGTTAAAGAGATATTTTAGCTAGGTATGGAATTCTAGGTTGATGGATTATTCCCCCAGTATTTAAAAAAGGTTATTCCACTATCTTCTTCTTTGTATTGTTTCTGATGAGAAATCTGCTGTAAATTTTATCTTTGCTCTTCAACGCATAAACATGTTCTCTGACTGCTTGAAACACTTTCTCTCCATCACTGGTTTTGAGCAATTTGATTAAAATGGGCCTTGATGTAGTTTATGTTTCTTATGTTTGGGGTTCATTGAGCTTCTTCGTCTTTGGGTTAATTGTTCAAGTTTGGGAAATTTTTTATCTATTATTTCTTTAAATATTTCTTTCTGTTCCTTTCCCATTCTCTTTTGTGAGCTCCATGAACCTGTGGTATTAGGCTGATTGAAGTTGTCCAACTTTGATGGAACATGACCTGCAGGCCATAACAGAATTCTTTGATTCCGCTTCCTTTAGGAGCCCGAGAACAGCCTATGTAGCCCGTACGAGGAGAAGGTGCGCCCCTGCATTGACCTCATCGACTCCCTGCGGGCGCTGGGCGTGGAGCAGGACCTGGCCCTGCCCGCCATCGCCGTCATCGGGGACCAGAGCTCGGGCAAGAGCTCCGTGCTGGAGGCTCTATCGGGGGTCGCCCTCCCCAGAGGCAGCGGTAAAAACTTGTCCTCTGTATGAGTCCGCTCAGGCAGCCATAACAAAATGCCACAGACTGGGAGGCTAAAACAACAGAAATTTATTTCTCACAGTTCTGGAGGCTGGAAGTCCAACACCTAGGTGTTGGCAGGGTTGGTTTCTCCCCAGGCCTTTCTCCTCGTGCAGGTGATCATCTTCTCATTGTTTCCTCCTACGACCTTTACTCTGTGTGCACACGTCTGGGGTCTCTTCCCTTTTTTGTATGGATGCCAGTCATATTGGTTAGGGTTCCACCTCTTATGACCTCATTTAACCTTAATTACCCTTTTAAAGAAAGGCCCTATCTCCAAATACAGTCATACTGGGGTTAGGGTTTCAACATGAAATGTGCGGGGGGACACAATTCAGTCCATAGCTGATGTTGCACATTTTTATGTGTATTGTATGTAACCTGCACTTTGTGGCAGGTCTAAATAAATGTATTTGGGCCCCCAGAACCATGTGCATGTGGGTGTCTCTCCTGAGCCCCTTCTCAAGAAGTGACCTTCTGAATGGGAGGTAAAGATTGGAGCTCTGGTTGGTGGTGCTGTTTGAGCACCAAGGCTGAGGGATCCATGAGGGTTCAAGGGGAGGGGGCAGACCTGAGATGGGCCTTGAAATATAGGTCAGATGTAGAGGAGGGTGGGATCTGGAAGTTTACAGCAGGGGGATTGTGGTGAGGGGCCTCGTGAGAGCAGTATGCATTCCTGATGATAGCGAATGATGTATCCTGGGGAATAATGGAGCACATTTCCCTGAGTTTGGCTGTTTCCCACTGTAGCATGCCGCCGGAGTGGATGGCAAAACCCTGAGATGAAGCAAGAAGCCTAGAGTGGTGGCTTTCAAGCATTAGTGAGCAAAAAATTACCTGGGTTGCCTACTCAAGATGCACATTTCTAAGGCCACCCTGGACATAGCACATCCAAGTATCAGAGAACAAGACCAGACAGTTTTAGTGGTCTGCCCAGATGATTATGGAAAAGTCGAAGGCCACCCTCTAGGACCCCTAAGAGCAGAATATAGGACTGATGTGGACATGGTCTCCAGGGATTGTTACAAGATGTCCTCTGGTACTGAAGCTGAAGAAGCTCCTGAACGAGGATGAGTGGAGGGGCAAAGTCAGTTACCAGGACTTCGAGATGGAGATTTCAGACCCTTCGGAGGTGGAAGTGGAAATCAGTAAAGGTGAGGGCCTCACGTTCACTCATCATCACCTCTTTGGACATCTGGTCACCTGTGTGAAGTGGGAGGGCATCCATCTCTCACTTTCCTACCCTTCCCTGTCTGGGCCCTTCTTGCTACCCTGGGAACCCCCCCTCTCTGCATCAGGCCCCAGGTCCCTTGTAGCTTCTCTTCTTTGACCCCTGTGAAGACCAGCGCTTTGGCCAAGAATCTGACCTCAGCCATTTTTTGCTGAGTTTGTAAGTAAGTATCTGAGAGTAATGTGAAAAACTTTAAACAAGGAGTATCTGTCCCTTGCTCAAGGGCTTTCCCACTCCACAGATCTGACAGAGGAAGGATCGGGGTGTGGGGCCGGGGAACCCCTTTCCCCGTTCACCTGGTAAAAAGGCATTCTGGACCATCCTTGAACCCTCTTCAGAAACTTTTCCTGGGTCTTTTCCTCCAAGAGTGAAATGTACATGTGTGCATAATCCTAGCTTAGGCTGACGGGTGGTAGGTCTCAGTGAATGCAAACCCCACAGGTCACTCTGCCGACTTGAAGCATCTGCAAGGAGAAGTAACACTTGAAGTCGGTCAGGACCCATAGTGACCCTGTTGGCTGCTGCTAAGAATGAGCGAGGCGAATAAATAAGCTTCTCCATGTTGACTTGACTTTCTTCCTAGTTCGTCACAATGAAGATTCAGTCATTTGAGGAGGGTCCAAAGGTAGCATAACCTCATATTCAGCAGCAGAAAAAAGAATGAGTTTGGCTTTTATGAAGGTGGAGGCCCTAAGTCGCACTTACAGACTGTTTTACCAAAGTTGAAGGATGTTGGATAGTCAGAATGTTATTGTGTGATTGCTGGGGTCAGGTTGGCTCCTGGGGCAGAAAACTCAAAACCATCGTGTGTACCGGTTGGCCCTTTCTGCATAACAGACTGACCTCAAAACCTAATGGCTTGGAACTGTTCGTTCCTCGTGATTCCGTGGATCAGCTGGGCAGTTCTTCCCCCCAGCTGGCTTGGCTGGGGCCGTCAGTTTAGGACGGCCTGGGTCACCTACCCAAGCCCAGGGCTGGAATGACCATGTGGTGGCCGTCCCCCTCCGGGACGCCAGGCTGGGCTCTTTAGATTGGGGGGGGGGGCGGTTCTTGGCAGCAAAGGAGGAGGGGCCCCCATGCATGAGTTCTCAGTCTCTACTGGGATCCATTCTGTGATGTCCTGTCAGCCATAGGGGGTCACAGGGTGAGCCCGATGTTGCAGGATGGACTCTCTGGATGGGAGAAGGTCGCCCTGTAGAGGAGCGTGAGTACAGTGATGGAAGGGACTCTGGAGGCCATTTGGGGAAGCGGGCCGCTAACACGGTGGTTTAAACGATCTGCCCATTTTACTTGTCTCTCACGTAGACGTCTGGAGGCAGGCAGCCCAGAGCTGGTTTGGGGGTTCCAGCATCAAGAACCAGACTCCCATGTTGTTTCTCCGTTGTGTGTGGCGGTCACTCCCAAGGCCACCTGATCTAGTCAGAAAGCCCCCATTCCAGCTGGAGGGACACCAGCACAAGGCTTCTCCTCCCTTTCCAGCAGAGTTTCTGGAGGTTTCCTGTGCCTTTGTCACACTGGACCAGACTTAATCTCACAACCGCGTGTCCGGTAAATGGATATTGGGGGCACAAGTAGCAGATGATGACACACAGGCCATTGTTGTTGTAACTCCTGTCCCGAGCTCCTGACTGCTATAAAAGAAGCCATTCTGGATTTGTAGAAAGGAGTCCAGTGGTATTAGCTAACAATTGGAGGAAATGCATTTATATCTTTTTTAAAAAAGATTTTGTTTATTTTTCCGAGAGAGGGAGCGAGCGAGCACGAGCAGGGGGAGGGGCAGAGGGAGAAGCAGACTCTCCACTGAGAGATCCCGGGAACCCGGGATCATGACCTGAGCCGAAGGCAGACGCTTAACCGACTGAGCCACCCAGGTGCCCCCGAAATACATTTATATCTTGAAATTTTCATTATTAAGGAGAAAGGAGCAAAATGAAATTCCGTATTGGAATACCAATGCTCATCAATTTTTCCACAAGAAAAATTGCCCTCCATAAGTTCCCAGATCGTGTTTCAAGAGTTCCCATGTGTTTTTATTTGCTTTCATTTTACTTTGTTGTTAATTTCCTAATGGCATCAATGGGAAGATTTAGGTGTGACAGCGGGAAGAACTCAGGTCTGCCCAGCTCTGGGCTGGTACAGGTGGGGGTGATCTTGAGAGATGTTTTCACTAGACGTTTTTTCTCTGGAGACAGTTCCGGCCACTGGCAAGGAAAATACTGAGTTATCCTTTGAGGTTCCTTTTAGCTCCAGAAAAAGGGAATCTGCTCCAGATACGCCTTATCTGTGACTCACGCAGGGAGGATTTGCTGTTAGGGAGGTGCTTCCACTCTAAGCTCTACTGAGTTTTTCTCGTTTCCCCCCTCCCTAGCCCAGAATGTCATTGCTGGGGAAGGACAGGGGATCAGTCATGAGCTAATCAGCCTGGAGGTCAGCTCCCCTCATGTCCCGGATCTGACCCTGATAGACCTCCCTGGCATCACCAGGGTGGCCGTGGGCAATCAGCCGGCTGACATCGGACGCCAGGTAAAACCTCGGTTCCGGGGCGAGGAGGGAGCGGAGCGGTGCCCCAGACAGCAGCGGGCTCAGGGCTGAGTTGGGAGAGTGGACATCGGGAGGTGTGAGGGGCACTGGGAGAGCGTGGTGGTCTCTGTGGCCTCCATCTGACGTGGTGGAGTCAGATGGAGGCGTTCTGGGGAGTGTAAGGCAAACTGGCAAAACTGGAAATCCGTTTTACACGTGTGTGGGATTTACACGGTGACCCATTTATGGTTATTAGTTACATTTTTGGCGTTATCTAAGCCGGTGTGTATTAGGAAGGGGTTTTATGTGGGGAGAGAAAACATTAGAAACAAGTATAATGACATTTTCATACTAGCGAATGTCATCCAAGGGATAAAAGACTTAGGGCACAGTCAGGCACTTCTTGGCATCTTGTTTTTCCCTGTGGTTATCAGCTGTGGAGTCTTAGGAGACAGTTCCTGAGCTAAGATCTGGTGGTTTCCCCACCCCCGCCCCCAGGGCTCTGTTTCTGCCGTGGAGAACTCGGTTTCTCTTAACTCTGGCTTGGACAATGCCACCAGGCTTGTGCTGCGGGCTCATTTCTTTGGGGGAGATACCCTGGGACTCTGAGGTCCCGAAGCAAGTGCGAGATCAGGACCTGTCCTGGCTCTCATACGCTCTCATCTTCTCACAGACCAAGCAACTCATCAAGAAGTACATCCTTAAGCAGGAGACGATCAACTTGGTGGTGGTCCCCTGCAACGTGGACATCGCCACCACAGAGGCACTGAGCATGGCTCAGGAGGTGGACCCCGATGGAGACAGGACCATAGGTAAGAAGAGGGAAGAACCTAACAACCGTAGGTGGTAACCTTCACTTTGCAGTGGGCTCAGCAAATGAGGCTGCCAGTCCTGGCTGGACCTGTGCTTCTCCAAGTGTGGGCCACACGCCACCCCCACAACCTGCACCAGAAAGAACTGGAGCATGTTTAGCAATGCAAGGCCCTCGAATGGAGGATATTCAGTAATGCAAGGCCCTCGACCCCACCAAGCCTCCTGAGGTAGAATCTCCAGGGCAGGGCCCGAGACCCTGAATTCTAAGATTTGCCTTGGGAAGGGGTTTCTGCTGCATGGGGAAGTTTGAGAACCAGTGCAATAGAGAATGAACGCTTCCACTGGGCAGAAAGAAAATTAAAAGGTCATTACATGCCGCTGTGTCTGTGGCATGGGGACCAAGACCTGGGTGAAGCCAGTCCCCCAGCTGCTCACGGGGGCTCGTGGTCTTTATGCAGCCCGAGCTGTGGTTCTGTCCCCAGCCGGGGGCTCTGCCCGCACGGTGGTCCTGCGGGGGCTACTGTGTGCCATCCAGCAGGCTGAGACGGAGCGGTGAGCAGTCTCTAATCGGAAGGCTCCGGCTTGCAGGAATCTTGACAAAGCCTGACCTGGTGGACAGAGGTACTGAAAGCAAGGTGGTGGATGTGGCACAGAACCTTGTCTGTCACCTGAAGAAGGGCTACATGATTGTCAAGTGCCGGGGCCAGCAGGATATCCAGGACCAGGTGACCCTGACCGAGGCTCTGCAAAAAGAGAGAGACTTCTTTGAGGACCACCCACATTTCAGGTACGCTGGCCGCATTTTCGCAAGGGTGAACCACAACTTGGGGCCTCGGTTGTTCCTGGGGAAAAGGGTTGCTGTCCAAAAGCAGACATTCGTTCGGAGTCTATGTGTGAGTGTGTTTGCACCTTGACAATGACTGCAGGATTTGCCTTGAAAAATAAAAGAGGAATTGACAAAGTATAGTAAAAAATACCTTTAAAAGATCAGATAAGGAGGGAATTTGCTACAGTCATTTACACGGTACAGAGCTGCAACCAGAATAAACACATAAATACCTCAGAATAGGAAAAAAAAAATCAGAAAGCCCAGAAATTGACCCAGGTACACATATTTGATGTATGATAAATGAGGCCTTTCAAATCATGGGCCACATCAGTTTGATTATCAATCAGTGGCATTGGGGGAAATTGTAAATTTTATGTACATGTGGTAAACACCGTTTTAAAAATTGGCAGATGTGGGGGTGCCTGGGTGGCTCAGTCGTTAAGCGTCTGCCTTCGGCTCAGGTCATGATCCCAGGGTCCTGGGATCGAGCCCCACATCGGGCTCCC